AAATCTACAAACTAAACTTTACAAACCTACAAGCTAAACTTTACAAATCTATAATTTACAATATAAATAAATAATGAAAAATACAATATTTGTACAGTTGTCTCAAAAATAATACCAGTAGTTGTAAATGAATAAAAATGGCGCAGAGATGTTTGTGGCTCTTTGTTTTGTCATTATATTGTTGTTAATTGTGGTTATTTTCCAAGTTAGTCATTAGACCAACAGAAGGGTTCTCAAGCCTTTGGGACATTTTATGGGTCAGAAACTAAACAGTTTGAGATCTTGTGGTCTACAGACTTCTACTCTTAGAAAACGTTTGGTTTTCAGCAGGTTTAAAAAGAAACAGACCTCACTTTTTATGAGCATTTAAACATTTTGACTGATCAAATGAAAGCTTTCAGAAGAGACCAGTCCCCACGATATATTTTCTATTTTAAAGTAACAGTATTTGTATTTGGAGCTGTGCAGATTTTTCTCAGTTGACCTTCTGTTTTCAAAGGTTCTTCTAACTCTTTCTTCTCATAGTGACAGTTATTTTTCGACACAGTGGGACATCCCGTGGAGTTCAAAGGTCGCTGAGTTTAAACAATGCTTGTCCACTTAGCGCCAGTTTCAGAGCAAAAGCTTCTTTAGAAGACTTATCATCACCAGGGGAATAAGGGATCCGTTTTAGAACCTGTCTTTATTTTTCCTCCTCCTCAGGAGCTGCTGGAGGCTCTGACAGAGCAGAGGCAGGTGGAGGATCCAACAGCAGTATCTGTGAGAGGTGCTGCGCTCACTTCTTCTCTTGGCCTGAGCTGAGCCAGCATCAGAAGGTCTGCACCGAGGACCCCGTGGTACTCATTGTGAAGGACAATCTGCTCCAGGACTCTCTGATGGAGCCCTCTCCGGTTCCCAGTGTGGCGTCTAGCGACTCATCTGCAGCAGAGTCCACGGACGCCAGCTTTGAGCTGACGAAAGACAATGACAGTTTGGATATTTTAGAGGAAGGGGGAAGGGAGTGGGATGAAGTTATGGAGCTGGACTCTTCCCCTCAAGACAAATACACAACATTCAGCCCTCAACCTCCTGACTCAGCAGAATCCACTTCCTCTCAGGCATCGGCGTCCGGCAGCTTTGGCATACCGAGCACCAATGTCACCCTGGAGATCCTCCACAGCACCCGTGTGGCTGTGGCCCAGTTCTCCCAGCGAATCAGCAGCGGTGGTCTGGGAGGTAAAGCAGCATCGGCTACCATCCCAGTGATCCTGGAGCACCTGCTGGCTCTGCAGCAGCAGCAGGTCCACCAGCTGCAGCTCATCGAGCAGATCTGCAGCCAGGTGGCCGTCATGAACAGACAGCCGACCCAGGCTGCGGTAAATCCAGTGTCCAGGTCTCTGTCTCTGCCGTCAAACCCAGGAACCATCCCTCCTTCCATCCTGCCTCTGTCAGGAGCCATGCCCACCGTTAATGGACAGGCCACCGTGTCTTTGTCTTCTGCGCTGGAACAGTCCCAGAGCGTCCCTTCACAAACTCTCTGTGGACAGTTGACCTCAGCCTCGTCAGAAAACTCGACCCCATCTCTGTCGAGCAGCAGCAGCATGTCTACACTGCTGCCTCTGTTACCACACAGCTGCACCGTCAGTAGCTCTCAGACCCCCAGCTCCTCCAGCCCCCCATCCCTGACGCCTAGCAGCCTCCTCAGTTCCCCCTGCAGTCTTACATTTCTACCTCAGAGCCCCCCGAGCAGCAGCGTCATCTTCCCCAACCCTTTAGCCAGCATCGCAGCCACGACTAACGCCCTCGACCCCCTGGCGGCCCTGATGAAGCAGAGGAAAGGCAAACTCCCCAACATGTCGCTGTTTGAAACCAAGCCCAGCTCAGAGGAGCCCTTTTTCAAACACAAATGCCGGTTCTGTGCCAAAGTGTTTGGCAGCGACAGCGCCCTGCAGATCCACCTGCGCTCCCACACAGGCGAGCGACCCTTTAAATGCAACATCTGCGGGAACCGCTTCTCCACCAAGGGCAACCTAAAGGTGCACTTTCAGAGGCACAAAGACAAGTACCCCCATGTTCATATGAACCCCTTCCCTGTGCCGGAGTACCTGGACAACGTGCCGACAAGCTCTGGGATTCCATACGGCATGTCCGTCCCTCCAGAGAAACCTGCCTCCTCGTGGCTGGACAGCAAGCCGGTCGTAGCGACTCTTACTGCTAATGTGTGTCTTCCTCTGTCCTCTGCTGGATCAGATGAGCCTGTAAGTGTAACAGCATCTGTTCAGTCTTATCAGGCAGCTCCTGGTGAATGTGTGTCTGTGTCACCCAACTACAGAGGCAGTGAGGGTCGTTTCTCTCCCATTTCAGACTCGAACCGTGAGACAGAAACCTCCAAAGTACTGAAAACAGAGGGGACACACCTGCCCCAAACACTGAGTGTCAACTCAGTCACTGAGACATCCAGCAGCCCCCCCCCACCTGCACTCAACACCTCAGCGTCTCCCGTCTCCTGCTGTCCATCCCTTATGGATTCTATGCAAACATCAGAAACCTTGAAGCTCCAGCAGCTGGTGGAGAACATTGACAAGAAGATCACCGACCCCAACCAGTGCACTCTCTGCCACCGGGTGCTGAGCTGTCAGAGCGCACTGAAGATGCACTACCGGGTGCACACGGGTGAAAGGCCCTTCAGGTGCAAAGTGTGCGGCAGAGCGTTCACCACCAAAGGAAACCTGAAGACCCACATTGGTGTCCACAGGGAAAGTTCTTCAGTTCAGGCGCAGCACTCGTGTCCCATCTGTCAGAAGAAATTCACCAACGCCTTGGTTCTCCAGCAGCATGTACGTCTGCACGTGGTTGGACACACTCCTGATGCGCTGCAGGCAGTGGATAACTTCAACAGTCTCAGCAGCAACGAGCTCACAGATGATGTCTCGATGGAAGAGGAGGAGGAGGAGGAAGAAGAAGACGTAGAAAACATAGAAGAAGAAAAAACTGTTCCTAAACCTTTTATCTCTGATTGCAGATCTCCATCTAAACCTTTGTCATCGAGTGCAACAGCTCTGGAGGACCAAATGAGGATTCTAAACCACTGTTTCACTGTAACCCCCCCCACTAACGGAGTCAAGGACAGCCTGCTGCTCAGTGCTGACGGGGTTTCATCAGAGAAGAAGGTGGAGGTCAGCAGCAAACGCAGCCCACGTGTGTCTGAATCTTCCTGCTCACCTTCTTCCCCTCTTCAGAGCTTCTCAGATGCCTCAAGAGTCAAATTACTGGCAGGAAACAACAAACAGGAAACCCACGAGGTTCTGTTGGTCTCGGTGAAGAGAGAACAACCCGAGTCTCCAAAATCTGCAGCTGACCCGAGAGCAGAGCCGAACAAACACTGTGTGAAGGAGGAGCCCCCTTACAGCCTCTCGTGCCAGCTGAGCCGAGACAGAGGTAATAACAACAGTAATAACAATAGTAATAACAATAGTAATAACAATAACAATAATAAAGATAACCTATGTCAGCTAAAGGCAACAGAACAAAGATTTTAAGAGCCTTTGTTAAAAAGTCTGTAAGAATGAATTCCTGTCAGGTTTGCAGAGAGAGACATCCAAAGTTTGGAACCATAAAAACTCAAAGCAGCCTCTACTCCTCATCGAATCCCCGTCTCACTAACAGATTATCACTGGATGGTCTTAATAATCTGGCTGGACCAGACCTCCCAGTCATGTCACCGAGGTATGGGGCAACGAAGCCATGTAGACTTTTAAAACCTAATAAAATCATAAAATCCATTTTAAGCATTACAGGAAACCAGTGGGATTTGAGTGGGGATGCTCCCTTCTTCCTGTTCTAATTCTGGCAGCAGAGTTCTGAACTCGCTGCAGATTTAAAATAAACTTTTTATGTTTTTGGTAACCCATCAAGGACAATTGTAGCTTATCATGGGAAAAAAGATAAATATAACCATTTCTTCTGCATACTGATGAAAGCAGAAGAGTTTTATTACATCTGTCAAAGGGAACATCGAAAACCAAAACAGAAAGGTCCGAGTATGGAGCTTTGAGGAACACCACGTGTGACAGGGAAACACTGTATGTTTCAGCTGCATTAAAATGTTTACGCTCTATAAAAAAACAAGTTAAATTGTTCTAATACCGTGCCTGAGATGCCAAAAAGTTTGTGTAGCTGTTTCTGTAAGGTCTTGTGGTCCATGGTGTCAAAAGCAGCACCAAGGTCCAGAAGTACCGGGACAATGAGTTCACAGTCATCACTGAGATCTGTTTCTGTGCCAGGCTGGGCCAAAAACCAGATTAAAACAGTTGATGAAGGTTATTTTTGTTGTTGTGATCATTGAATGGATTTTTTTCACTTATTTTACTGAAGACTGACAGGTTTAGCGTCAGTCTGGGATTACTAAACTCAGAAGGATTTAATGAGTTTGTTTGGCTCCAGTTGCAGGTCAGAACCTCTCCGGCTCCATCAAAGCTGAGGTGAACGGTCACAGTCAGGTGGAGGTTCCTTTCAGCTCCAGTTGTCCGTCTGTCGGCAGCCCCGGCGTGACCTCCCTCCTCGGCCCGGCGCCGCCTCGACGAGCACCCAAACAGCACAACTGCAGCGCCTGCAGGAAGAACTTCTCATCGGCCAGCGCCCTCCAGATCCACGAGCGCACGCACACCGGAGAGAAACCGTTCGTCTGCTCCGTCTGTGGCCGAGCGTTCACCACGAAAGGCAACCTGAAGGTGAGCGGAGACTTCCTATCTGCCAAGTCCAGGATCAGGACTTTGTTGGATGAGGACAGGTCCACACGACCAGCGGGACCAAACGGTCATGTTTGAGAAACATTTCTGTCCGACAATAAAACAGGATTCTTAAGAGTTTTAAGATTAATCATCATTAAACGTTTCATTTTATTACTTTAAAGGTAAAATTAAAAAAAATATTTTTCAAATATTAGAAGCGAAAAAAGTTTAAATTTGTTTATTTATTTATTTTGAACAAGTTTATAAATTATTGTGTAAGGAAAAGAAAAACTTAACTTTTGTTTGAACAAATAAATTGTTTTCAGTTTTTAAAGTCAGATTTAATTAAATTTTGAGAATTTGGATGAAAAGTGGAGATTTGGATGTAAACAACAAATAGAAAGGCTGGGAGTTGAACCTGCAACCTCCTTGTTTATTTATTTATTAACCGTTAATTAACCAGACAAATCCCACTGAGATCTCAGATTATTTTTTAAAGGTGGTCTGGACCTGAAGGCAGATTAACGTGCATGATTTTAATCTGTGGGAGGAAACCGGAGTACCCGGTGAAAACCCACGCAGCACGGAGAGAACATGCACACTCCACCCAGAAACACCCCAGGTCCAACTGGGGAATGAACCCAGGACCTTCTTGCTGTGAGGCAACAGTGCCAACCACTGATTCACCGTGTTGCCTTGTGTCAGATGAGTGCCCACTGTTCAAATAAAAATCATTATTTTTGATAAAAGTCGTCACCGTGTCCAACGCGTGTCTTTCAGGTTCACATGGGAACCCACATGTGGAACAACGCCCCGGCCAGGAGGGGTCGGCGTCTGTCCGTGGAGAACCCCGGGGCTCTGCTGCGCGGGGAGGCGCTGAAGTTTGGGGAGGCCTTTCAGAAGGACCTGGCGACCCGAGCAATGAGCGTGGACCCCGGGTTCTGGAGCCGCTATGCCGCGGCCATCACCAACAGCTTGGCCATGAAGAACAACGAGATCTCTGTGATCCAGAACCCGGGCCTCGTGCCACTCCACCCGCTGACGGCAGCAAGCGTCACCAGGGGAACGATAACTGGCCTCAACAGGACCACCGTGGACCTGGGATCAATAACCGGCCTCAACAGGACCACCATGGACCTGGGATCAATAACCGGCCTCAACAGGACCACCGTGGACCTGGGAACCAACCGACACTTTTCCATGCTGATCGACGACGGCAAAGAAATCGGAATCAATTAAAATAAAAGCTGAATGTTGATGGAGTTTATATGCAAAATATTAAAGTCTTTTTATTTGCAAAGCAAATGAAAAGACTTCTTCAAGTTAAGGCAGAAGAGCAGAATATTCTCTCTCTGCTAAATGTTTTCTAAAAACAAACGTTTGGAGGGATCCTTCAGGGCTCAGCTGGTTGTTCTGAAGAAGAAACGGTTTCTTTCTGCAGGCGGAGCAACGAACACGATCTGCTCCGAACATCAACCCTGAAGGACTTACTGAAGCCACTTTGAATAAAAACCCGAACGGGCCGTTTGTCTGCCAGCGTGGTTCCAACACACCAACTCACTGACTCTGAACAAGAACTTCAAGAAGAGCCTTTTCTTTTGTTGCTGTCCTGTGGGAACTTGTGTTTTTTTACATTTTATATGTGTAAATATAAAACTAAGGTCAAGTGTGTGCAATAAAATATGACGACTCTTTTCACTGAAGTATAAAAATAAAATGTCCTTTCACACATTTTATATTCTAAAAGTCTGAACGTCTCCAAATGACCCAAATCCATCGGTGCTGAAAACATAAAATTACTTTAAGGCCAGTGTAAAATATGATATAAAGATGGGCCGCGGCTGCTTGGCGGTCCTATAATCCTGAGGTTGTGGGTTTGAAACCCTTTGAAACATTTGACAAATCTTTTATTTAAGTTCAAACTGTGATGACCCCTGAATAAGGGGTCAGCTGACAGAGAAATGTTCAAACTAATATTTGCCAGAAAAATGCCATTTTCTGTGTAAAAACTGGGAACGATGAGGGAACATGATTGCTGAAATTTGATGGAAAAATCAAATTTACCATGGTCTGACGTTGAACACTTTTGCCAAAACTATAAAGCGAGTTCATCACAGCAACACTACTGATCGGTTGAGGCCCCGGTTAACAACGACCGCCACTGGTGCTGAAATTAGATGGGCAAAAATTAAAATGAGCTAAAAGTTGCAAAATTAAACATAATGCTAACCTTAAAATGCTAGCTTTTGGGAATACGCTAAAAGCAAAAAATGTGCTAATTAAAAGGAGTAAAATACCAAAATTTAAAGTAGCAAAATGCTAGCTAAAAGCCTTAGCTGCATTATCATTACCAGAAATAAAATTAGCAATAGTAAATCTAGTATTAGCAGAAATATGCTAAAGTCGAAGCAGCCACTAGGGAGCACAGACTGGTACTGGTCGAGTAAACGGTGAGGGATGTGTCAGGAAGGACATCTGACGTAAAACACTTTTGACAAAACTATAATGTGAGTTCATCAAAGCGACACTATACCGGATCAGAGGAGGCCCGGGTTAACAACGACCGCCACCGGTGCTGTTGACAAACGGTGCCGCCGAAAATTGTACTACTGTTAGTCGAAGATCACGAGGAGGGAAACGTGTCAGGAGACAGAGGAGAAGAGGAAAGTCAAGAATGTAGGACTGAGGGTGGACACTCTAATGACAGACAAAGGTAGAGAGCTGGCTGACATGATGCAGAGAAGGAAGGTAGATGTTTTATGTGTCCAAGAGACCAAGAGGAAGGGCAGCAAGGCTCGCAGCATTGGAGCAGGGTTCAAACTGTTTTACCATGGTGTGGATAGAAAGAGAAATGGAGCCGGGGTGGTCCAGGTCGACTACATTCTGTGTAGAAGAGGAAACCTGAGGGAGATTGGAGACTGTAAGGTTGTGGCAGGGGAGAGCGTGGCCAGAAACCTGGTGGTGGAATAGTGAAGTGCAGGAAGATGTTCAAAGAAAGAGGTTAGCCAAGAAGAAATATGACAGAGAGAGGACTGAAGAGAGGAGACAGGAATATAAGGAGATGGGACGTAGAGCAAAGAGGGACAAAGCAGAAGATGTATGATGAGTTGTATGTGAGACTGGACACTAAAGAGGGCGAGAAGGACTTGTACCAACTGGTGAGACAGAGGGATCAGGCTAGAAAGGATGTGCAGCAGGTTAGGCTTGGTAAAGATAGGAATGGTAATGATCTAACAAGTGAGGAGAGTGTGACGGGAAGATGGAAGGAGTACTTTGAGAAGCTAATGGATGAAGAGAATGAAAGAGAAAGAAGAGTAGAGGTCATAGAAACTGTGGACCAGGAAGTGGTAAAGATTAGTGAGGGTGAAGTCCAGAAAGCTCTGAAAAGAATGAAGAAGGTGAAGGCAGTAGGACCTGATGACCAGTGGAGCACCTGAAAGAAGAGGAATGAAAGTCAGCTGTAGTAAGACAGAGTCCATGTGTGAATGAGAGGGAGGAGGTGGAACAGTGAGGCTACAAGGAGCAGAGGTCACAAAGGTGCAGGACTTCAAGGACTTGGGGTCCACTGTCCTGGAACATGGGGAGTGTGGTGAAGAGGTGAAGAAGAGAGTCCAGGCAGGATGGAGTGATGGAGAAAAGTTTCAGGAGTGATTTGTAACAAGAGTGTCAGCAAAGGTCAACAGAAAAGTTTACAAGACAATCATCAGAGGTACAACACAGGTTGAACAACTGGGAGATAAAGATAGAGAGGACTGAGATGGATTGCACATGTCCAGAGGTGGGACAGTGGTAACTTGGTAGAAGGATGTTAGAAATGCAGCTGCAGGAAAAAGACAAAGAGGAGACATATGGATGCCGTTAGAGAGGACATGGAGGTAGTTGGAGTGAGGACAGAGGACACAGAGGACAGAAAGAGATGGAGGAGAAGGAGTCGTTGTGGTGACCCATGAAGAGGGGAAAGCTGAAAGAAGCTGTTTTGAAGGATTTGAATCAATTATCTCAATATTTTGAATTTGGAAAAAAAAAAGAAGGAGAAAGAAACATTAAAATGGGTTATTGAGTTTGCATCTCAATAGTTTTTATTTGTTTTAACTGCGTGAGATTAAAAAAGGAATTGTTGGTGAAATTCTATTCATCTTCCGTAGATTTGACTCTGGGTCTTCTTCATTGTGGGACGTTCAAGGACAGTCGGATGTTTTCCTTTACATAAATTTATTTATAACGTTTAATTTTGAAAATGTGAATGACTAACCGAAATATCTGTGTTCTATAGATACATTAAAAACATGCATTAATCATAATATATGTTCTCACTACGAACTTTTATTTAAAACGAGCTATATTTATCGGAATGCTATGCGGTATCCAATCCGATTCACGCCGGCAAACTGTAAACTCCCACATTTCTGTCTGGTACACGAATGCGACACAGTCCGTCGCGAGCCTTTCATCGTGACGTCATGACGCTACTGCCCAGCCAACATGGCTGACAGCATCCCTTTGAATCCAGTACGGAAATTCTCCAGAAGGATCCAGTACTACAACTCAGCCGGCCTTTCACGGTACGTAGCGGGCTCACGGGGACTTGGACCGGGCTTACGGCGCGCAAGCAGCCGCTGTTTGTTGGGCTGCCGCGCAGAGGTTCGGTTCTGTCTGTGTTCCGGTGTTTTCAAACAACCGTCACGTCTGATTTTTAAATTCAATCTAACAAACGCTGACACCGTCCGTTAGCATGTTAGCTAGCTGTTTGTTTTGGTTTCCGGTTCGGTCTGGGCTCAGATTTCAGGTCATATGAGAATGTCTGTGGGTTGGAGTTGGTCACATGATGTGAAAATGAGTCACTGGAGCAGGATGAGCTGGTCCTTCAGGGCTGGTTCCGTTCCTCCATCAAGCTGATGGACTTTCAGAAGGGATGGAGTTTAGCCTCGTTAAATGTTGTAGTTTATGTACTGGCTCATGATAAAACAGTTCTTGGTGTTCTAACACAAAGAAAACAGCGCTATTCAAACAACACGTGATTTATTACAGCTTGTTGTGGAGCAGTAAATAAAATAACTGTTAGTTCTTCCAGAGCGACAGCGTTGTTGGCACAATGTCGAGGCAGAAAGACATCAGCAATGACTTGAGGTAAGCAGCAGATTCATCCCGAAGGTCAGACCGTGCAGTGACCCTACAGGCAGTAGGTCAAAGGTCATGCCCTCCTCTCCAAAAACAACATGGCAGCTGGACGTATGTTTGGAAAGTTTAATCTGAAGGAACCACCAGATTCTGGACCAGAACCAGACCAAAGGACAGATGTTTACCCAAGATGCATTGCAGCAAACAGCTCCCAGCTGTCAGCACGGTGGTGGAGGGCTGATGGTTCGGGCTCCTGTCAGTCACTGAGTGGACCAGGAAGTTCTCTGTAGACCAAAGGTTCTGGAGTCAAACGTGTCCATGTGTTGAACAGCTGAAGCTTGGACCAAACTGGGTCCAACAGGACCATGGTCCCACACACAGCAGCTGATCTACACCAGAACGGGTCAGAGAGAACAGAACCAAGGTGCTGCAACGGTCCAGTCAGAGTCCAGAACCTGAACTTGACTGACATGCTGTGGTGGAGCTTCAGAGAGCTGAGCAGAACCCTCAGTGATGGAAAGCAGAGTGGACCAGAACTCCTCCAGAACCAGGAGAGGGACTGGTCAGAGTTCTGGTTCTGAAAGAGGTTCTGTTGGATGAATTTTTCACAGTTTGGTTCAGGTTTTATTGTTGTGTCATCTCGTGTTTTACTGAAGAAACGCAGCTCTTCTGTGAGGACGTTCTTCTTCAGAACCGACCCACGTTCCTGCAGGATGAGAGCAGAACGTTCTGTCATCAGACGTGGGCGTTTGTTAGTCTGAACCCTGCAGATATTAATAAAACAAACATCTGAGCTCCAACGGTTCGTCTTAGAGCCGCAGTTTAACGTTCCCGTCCGTCCACCGCTCCGTTTCCTTGTGTCTGCGCTGCAGAGAGGAATTCTGGGTAACGTGACGGCTGATCGGGGGCAGGCTGACGAGTCTTACGTCCTCAGTCCCGTCTGGACTCTACAAACCCTGCTGGGTTCCAGGTGTCACAGAGAAACTTGCTTCGTGGCATGGTTTGTGAAATGTAGAGGCAGACAACGTTTTGGTGTTTCTGGACCAAACTGACCTGGAAGGTGGCGGGCGACAATCCTTCTGTAGATCTTTAGTTTTAGTTCCTGCTCAGCAGAAAACCTGATTTTATTTTTCCTTCTGCCCTTCGCTGCAGCTTGGGCTTGAATCTGACGTAATTAACTTTTGAAATGTGCGTTTCTCATGTAGAGCTTTCTTCACTGAACGCACATTACAGGCACTTCTCAAGAAAAAAATATTTCACTCTAATGAATTTATGGAATTTATGAGTTCTGACTGAAGAAATGGGAACTTTTTCACAATATTCCATTTTTTTGAGACTCGCCTGAATTTCTCGTCTCGTTTCAGGTTCTCTTCAGAAGATGAGACCTCCAACCTGGACGAGATGCCTCTGATGATGTCGGAGGAAGGCTTCGAGAACGATGAGAGCGACTACCAGACTCTGCCCCGGGCCCGGGCGGGTCAGAGGCACCGAGGCTTCGGCTGGTTCCTGCTGGGGGGCTGGAAGGTCCTCTGTGGCAGGTACTTGTGACGAACGCCGAAGGCTCCGTTTGCTGCTGAAACAGGGACGTCTTTTTATTTATCAGCGTTTCAAAAACTGTTCAGTCCTGAGGTCAGTTCAGATCTGAGGAGAACCTCTTTGGGAGGGGGGTCTGGAAGCTGGTTTGAATTCTAAACTCAAGCTTTCAGATGACATGTTCAATGAATGGCGACACAAAATACGGTAAACTGCCCTTTAATTACCGGTAGTGACTTTTTGCCTGCAGCGTTGAGCTAAACTTCCTGTTGGCACGAAAAGCTGCGTCTGTCTGCGCCGGAGTCGTCCGTGGTCTGAAAACACCACAGAAGAAGAAGTGGAGCAAATGAAACCGTTATGGTAACTGTAGCAGAGCGTTGACAGATAAAAATAATATTTTATATTGATCATGGGGGAAGTAAAAAACGCTCAGAGGTCCAGTTTACACATGACCCATCTCTAAGGTACCGCTGCGCTCGCCGTCCTTCCCATGCCAGGTGACTAGGTGGCGCTGTGATGTTTGGATTGCAGCGACGCGTTCACCTCGGTCTCGTTTCCTGCACTTCTGTTCTAAATGGTGACTACAGGAACGTTGGTTTGGACCGAGGATGAGGAGCTCCTGGGTGATGAGGACAAACAGCACTCTTCTGTCCTCCAGCGTTCCTGTTGTTCAACTACAGAGAAACTACTGACGGCCGCCATTCACGGTGCGCTCACACGTTTCACTCTGATGCCGGGCGTTTCCAGAAACCTCTTTTGAGACCACGAGCCAAAAGTCTTTAAAACGGCTGCTGTAGTCATGAGCACAAACAGCCGAAACGTAGCTGAAAAGCGACTGTTTCGCCTACGAGTTGTGTTGTAGAGCTGTCATTTCTAACCCGGAGCCCGGCCCGGTCCTAATCTGGGTCGGCCATGATAATGTGCTTAATGTGCGGGCCGGGTCGGTGTCAGGCTTTGATTGCGTCAGTGTACGCACACGACTGCCGATCCAATTATATGGCAACACAGCTTTCCATACAATCACCAGCCACACGCGGCCATTTGACCGTGCGCTGACCGGCCCTGAAAGAAATAAAAAAGTTCAGTTAAGTTTCAGATGGACTAATGCCAGACAGAGATCCATCGCCCAGACAGACGTTCATTCAGCCGCTGCGCTCAGTGGACGCGCGCGGCCGACGACCCAAACCGGTGAGATCACAAAACATCTGACATGTCAGAGCAGGGTCCGTGTCTGAATCATGCAGAGTGCAGCAGAAACGGGGATTAAATCTCTTTGACGGCCATGAAAGGACAAACGCCTCCTCAGCTCCGATCTTCTGCCTCCTTTATTCAGCCGCGCACGTACGTGACCGTTAATGAACCGCTAACGTGACCGCTGATCAAAGAGACGAGCCTGAAGACTTCCTGAGACGAGAGAGTCAGCTGATCAGCTGATCAGCAGAGAGTGATCATTTTATTATTCTGCCGTGGAAACCAGTGGGACCCTCGTCAGAAACAATGTCTGCACCTGAACCCTGAGGTTTAATGAACGCTGATGACGCGCTGAGTTCAGCAGTGCAGCCGCGGAGCTCCGTGCACGTTACGAGCACGTATTTCTACTCCGGAATGACAGGATTATCTGTGTACGTGCCCTCAGACCCAGGTCCGAGTCTTCCCTGCTCTAAATGGCACGTTTCTTTAAGACCGGACCCGTCTGAACCACGCGCAGCTGCAGGTTTGGTTGAGATGTGGCGGCGTTGCTTCAGTCGTGAACGTCGACGTGACGAAGACGCTGCCGGAAATGAAACCGCATCAAAATGAAACGTTCGTAAAACGAGTAGTTTGTGTTTTTATCTTCAACGCTGCTCATAAACCACAAGTTCTCACAAGGTCCAGAAGTGACCTGAGACCAGGGGCTGCACCTCCTGGACCCCCTGTGGACCGAAGGTGTCCCCCGGACCTCGTCAGGTCTTCTGTCCACATGTTGCTGTTCATGTGACAGGCCAGTGCTGCAGACTGGTTTATGGGACAGCGTCATGAGAAACTCCAGCTGAGGACGAGTCCTCGTCTGTCCCTGCAGCTCTTTGTCTGAACGCTGCGTTTGACGGCTGATGTGAAGAGCGTGCGCTCCGTGCACGGCCACCGGAGGGGGGGGGGTGTGTTGGTGGAGCTGCTCGATGCGCTCCGTCAGGTTTCAGGTCAAAGACGCTCCGTCCCACAGAAGACACGCGTCCTCTAAAGATGTCCCTCTCTGTGTTTGTTCGTGCCAGAACAATAAAGTTGAACGTTTATGAACAAATGTTTGTGCAGCACTTCATCGCCCTCGCAGTCGAACGTGCACCCACACATTACGCTGCCCCCCCCCCCCACTAATGAACAAATGGGGATTTTTCACAGCTGACCAGTTTGATGCGTCGCAGTAATTTTCTGTTTGAAGAGTGCGGGATTATAAAGCACAAATAATTCACGGTGGCTAAGCTTCGGCTGTTTATTTAAACTGTTCTGGAGCTGCAGCCGCGGCGCGCACCGGCTCTAACCGCCGAGGCCAACACAAACACCCCCTTCACCACCGTTCATTATTGAACTTTAGCTTTTGCCAACTTGCTGAAAACGTGGAAACGCCAAGTCGCCCAGCATGACGGCACACAGCGCCCCCCCTCACCCCAGGTGCCGGCTCAGACTCCCGGGGAGCTGAACTTCTGTTTGTGCTTCACATCAGATGTGGGCGATAAGCCCCCGCTGAGGCAGGTGAACACAAAGTCACTCACTTTCATTAAAACCGTCTCATCAGAGTCTCAACTTTCTGTTCCCCGCCGCGGAGCCAAGAGGGAACTGGAAATCCGTCTGTCCGTGCACGTTGGGAGCTGGAAAAACAAAGAAGGTGCCGTCTTTCATCTTGGCGCGCGGCTCTGTCCAAGTGTGACAAAGGTCACACATCTGGGTCACCAGTTCAGAATCCAAGATGGCTGCCTCTGTCTGTCTCTCCCTCCTCTCCAGGAGCCGTCTCTCTGCTCCTCCTCAGACTCGACATTCAAATCCTCCCTCTGTTCTTCTCCACAGTAGCTCCTCCCACCCGAGTGTCTTTAATCAAAAACATGTAGGTTTTCTTCATTCTCTGTTCCCGTCCAGAAAAACACTCGTGTCCAGATCTACCAACGCTCAGCGACGGGGACGACGGCGCTCGTCCAGAGTTCTTCTTCTCTTTAACACCAGCTGAAACTCCCTTCTGTGTTTAATGTTTTTCACGTGACGTTGATGTTTTTCTCTCCAGCTGCTGCGACTGCCTGGCTCGTTTGTGCCGCAGGAAGAAGGAGCTGAAGGCCCGGACCGTCTGGCTCGGCTGCCCGGAAAAATGTGAGAAGTACCCGAAGAACTCCATCAAGAACCAGAAGTACAACGTCGTCACCTTCGTGCCCGGAGTGAGTGCTGGAACATTTGGACTCGTGACCTCGGCCCGGTTCTTCTGAGCGTTGGAGCCCAGCAGTTCTGAGTACCTGTTAACTCCAGTCAGAGGTTTACACGGGGGGTGTCAGACATTCATCAGAGTTACTTATTAAAAGCAGAATGGTTCTGTAATGAAGAGAGCTGGGCTCATTAAATGTCATCTGTCTGTTGGAGGCGCAGGTTCTCCCGTGGACGGTGAAACCAAGCGGCTGCATCGTCCCCCCCCCCCCCTGAATTATTAAATACTCACAGATTGAGTTTAGCAGGATGCATTCACCCTAAAGGTCAGGAGGTTCATTAGCTGAAGTCCCTGATAATCTTTAAGTAGACACACGCTCTCATTATTGCAGGCATTACTCAAAGTCTGACCTTAGAGGAGGAGAGTTCTGCCACTTCCTGTTGACTGATGGCCCGTTAGCAGCGAGCGGCGCTGCTGCGTCTTCTGAGTCCTGCCGGGGAGCAGGAGCAGATGTGTTGCAGCTGTTTACAAAGTAAAGCTTGGAGTTTTAATGTGGTCGTTCTCTTCCTCTGTTTCCTCCCAGGTTCTGTACCAGCAGTTCAAGTTCTTCCTCAACCTGTACTTCCTGGTGGTGGCCTGCTCCCAGTTCGTGCCCTCGCTGAAGATCGGATACCTGTACACCTACTGGGCCCCTCTGGTACCGCCCGCATTTACCCCCCTCTCTGTGTTCAGTCTGACTGCTGTTTTAAGCTGGGTCAAAGAGTGTCCTGCTGATGGACGCTGGTCTTTGTCCCTCAGGGCTTTGTCCTGGCCGTTACCATGGTGAGAGAAGCTGTGGACGAAGTGCGGCGCCATCAGCGAGACAAAGACATGAACTCCCAGCTGTACAGCAAACTCACAGTCCGAGGTGAGACAGACTTGTCCTCTCCGTCCTGTAAGGTCAGGTGGACACCAGGACACCGTTAGACATTTCGTCTGATCAGACAGGAAGTGTTTGACGTTTTGTCTTCAATCAGACAGGGAGTGTTTGACGTTTCCTCTCAGATCGGACAGGAAGTGTTTGACGACTCTTCTTCGATCGGACAGGAAGTGTTTGACGACTCTTCTTCGATCTGACAGGAAGTGTTTGACATTTCCTCTCGGATCAGACAGGAAGTGTTTGACGTTTCCCCTCTCATCAGACAGGAAATGTTTTGACGTTTCCACTCAGATCGGACAGGAAGTGTTTGACGATTTTTCTTGGATCTGACAGGAAGTGTTTGACATTTCGTCTCCGATCAGACAAGAAGTGTTTGACATTTCTTCTCTCATCAGACAGGAAGTGTTTGACGTTTCTTCTCTCATCAGACAGGAAGTGTTTGTCATTTCCTCTCATCAGACAGGAAGTGTTTGACGATTTTTCTTGGATCTGACAGGAAGTGTTTGTCATTTCGTCTCCGATCAGACAAGAAGTGTTTGACATTTCTTCTCTCATCAGACAAGAAGTGTTTGACGTTTCTTCTCTCATCAGACAGGAAGTGTTTGACGTTTCTTCTCTCATCAGACAGGAAGTGTTTGTCATTTCCTCTCATCAGACAGGAAGTGTTTGACGTTTCTTCTCTCATCAGACAGGAAATGTTTTGACGTTTCCTCTCATCAGACAGGAAGTGTTTGACGATTTTTCTTGGATCTGACAGGAAGTGTTTGACATTTCGTCTCCGATCAGACAAGAAGTGTTTGACGTTTCTTCTCTCATCAGACAGGAAGTGTTTGACGTTTCTTCTCTCATCAGACAGGAAGTGTTTGACGTTTCTTCTCTCATCAGACAGGAAGTGTTTGTCATTTCTTCTCTCATCAGAGAGGAAGTGTTTGACGTTTCTTTCATTAGACAGGAAGTGTTTGACGATTCTTCTTCGATCAGACAGGAAGTGTTTGTCATTTCCTCTTGGATCAGACAGGAAGTGTTTGTCATTTCTTCTCTCATCAGACAGGAAGTATTTGACGTTTCTTTCATCAGACAGGAAGTGTTTGACGATTCTTCTTCGATCAGACAGGAAGTGTTTGTCATTTCTTCTCTCATCAGACAGGAAGTGTTTGTCATTTCTTTTCTCATCAGACAGGAAGTGTTTGTCATTTCTTCTCTCATCAAACAGGAAGTGTTTGACGTGACGGAGATCATCTGTTGGAAAATCACGCTTCATTTTTTTTTTTTTTTAACTCTGTTTACTTCTTGTTGCTCGTATATATTTTATTTTAACTTTTTTTTCCTCTTCAGGTAAAATTCAAGTAAAAAGTTCCGACATCCAAGTTGGAGATCTGATAATTGTTGAAAAGGTACCGACGTCCTCCTGAATGTCTCATTTTAATGGTCAGAAACCAAGAAATGTTAAAGTTCTTTTACTTTAATTATCTGTCAAGTTAAAAGTTTTATAAAGACAAGAACTTTTAATCACATTTAGACTCGTCAACATTGTGTTTGAAAGTGACATTTTATGGACTTTGTAGTTGTTCAAAGTGCTCGAACATGAACTGGACATTCGATAATTAACAAATCAACAGAATCAAAGTAAAGAGTCGTTTAGTTTTCATATAATTGATCATTTATTGGATTACATTCAGTCAAAAAGATTTTAATCCTCCCAAACCCAGTAAAAAAAACTCTGCAGTGACATAAGCTGCACACTTTGGAAATAAATCATTTATTCTTCTATTTAAATGGATCATTTATTATTCTTCACGTCATCAAACCTGCAGAAATTTACAGGAAACACTGAACGACGACCAGCAGTCCAGAGACTTTCAGTTCCACTGAGCTGAGCGCTGACGTCTTCGTTAGCAGAAACTATATTTAAATACTGACACAGCAGCCGAAGTTTCTGTGGAGTCACCAACTCTTTTGTGTTTCTGCAGAACCAGAGGATTCCTGCAGACATGATTTTCCTGCGAACGTCTGAGAAAACCGGTGAGTTTAGTCCCTGACTCTGATACCTCGGCTGCTGAAGGAGTTTAATAAAACCAAACGGAGCTCCACTATCTCGACTCCTCGTCTCGCTCTGACAGTCCGTCCTGCCGTCCGTCTGAGCTTTTATTTTGTGAGGAGGAGCCGCTCCCAGGCGTCCATCAGTCCCTGACCTGTCAATAATGTGGACGTCTCTGTCCCTCATCCTCACTCTCTGTGTGTCGGGAGCGAAGAATGAGTCGTCCGCCTCGTTATTTGATGTTTTCAGTCATTCTAACCCCTCGGGGAGCGTTTCAGCCCCCCCCCATCAGAGAGCGACTGTGTTTGGTGTGTAATAATCCGTCGGATCGATCCGGTCACGGCAGCTCGGGTTCATTGGGCCTGATGGAGCGAAGCAGCTAAACACTCAGCTGAAGGCTTCACACTCGCTGGTTTAAAACTGAGCCCATGCTTCAAATTTAAACTTTACATTTATGTAAAATGTATCTAAATATAAACATTTCATTCTGAGGGTTTCTCCAGACGTTTAGACACAGATTTTTCTCATTCATTCAACCTTTATTTCTACAGGTTAGTCTCATTGAGACACAGGGACTCATTTACAAGAGAGACCTGTCCCAGACAGAACATTTAAAGTACAGACAACAACAATAACAACAACAATAACAATAAACTACAGTAAAAATGCAGTTTAAATAAGAGTCAGAGTCACAGAGAGTCAGAGATTCTTTATTGTCATTCGCACCTCATGTGGTTCATGTGGTGGAGCGAAATTATGTACACAGGGTCAGATCAGCAGCAACATGAAACAGATCAGCAGCAACATGAAACGGATCAGCAGCAACATGAAACGGATCA